GTGTATGTAGTGTGTGTGTGTGTGTGTGATGTGTGTGGTGTGTGTGGTGTGTGTGGTGTGTGTGGTATGTGTGGAATGTGGTGTGTCTCTGTGTGTCTGGGCACCCAGCATCCACAGGATGGTTTCTAAGCATCTGTAACTCTAGTTCCAGAGGCTTCAATGCTTTCTTCTGAGCTCCGCCAGCACCAGACAAGCACAGGCAAAAGACCCATGCACATACATAAAACAAAGCTCTTTAAAATATATCACACATTAAAAATTAATGCCTTCAGTTTTTCTTTTAGGTTTAGAATCCTACAAAGTTGGACTGGGATGCTGGGCATGGTAGTGCACGGCTTTGGTCTCAGCACTCGGGAGGCAGAAGCAGGTTCCTATGAGTTCAAGATCAGTGTGGTCTATACAGCAAGTTTCAGGACAACCAAGGCTACAGAGAAACCCTGTCTCAATGAAACAAAACAACAACAACAAAAAAAAACCCAAAGCTGGGTTTGTCGTGGAGAGCTCACTGGCTGCAGCACTGTGGCAGGGCATTTATCTAGCATGGGTGGGTAAGGCTCTTCATTCTCAACACCCCTCTCCTGCCTTACCCTCCCCTCCCCTAGAAAAAGAAAAACAAACACCTGTAGCAGGCTCCCTGCACTAGAGATCCCTTTATGAATAGTTTTTAGCAGACAGAGTAAGAAGCTGGTTGGAGTGGCGCACACCTTTGATCCCAGAACCTGGGAGGCAGAGGCAGGCAGATCTCTGTGAGTTCAAGGCCAGCATGGGCTACAGATCGAGCTCCAGGACAGCCAGGGCTACACAAAGAAACCCTGTTTTGTTTTTTTCTTTGTACCACATTCTGGCTATATACTTTACTCCCATTGATTGGGACTCAAGAGAAAAATAGTTTCCTGTTTTAACAAGAGCCAACGGAAGGAGCTGGATTCCCTCCCCACATAACAACAGATTTCCGAATACGTCTCAAAGCCAAAGCCTGCTTTTGGTTTTGCTTGTATTTTCTGCATTACCACATTTATCTCTTTAGTGTATGTGTGGGGACACAGGCATGTGAGGGTGTGGGTGTGCAGGCATGTGAGGGTATGGGGGTGCAGGCATGTGAGGGTGTGGGGGTACAGGCATGTGGGGGTGTGGGAGTGCAGGCATGTGAGGGTATGGGGGTAAAGGCATGTGAGGGTATGGGGGGTACAGACATGTGAGGGTGTGGGTGTGCAGGCATGTGGGTGTGCAGGCATGTGGGGGGGTGTGGAGGTATAGGTATGTGGGGGTGTGGGTGTGCAGGCATGTGGGGGTCAGGAGCCTGAGGATCAAACTCTCATCAGCAGACTTGGCAGCAAGCATCTTTATCTCCTGAGACATGTAGTTAGCCATACTCTTGTGTGTTTGTAGTAACTTTAAGGGTGAGCCCCACAGCAGCACTGAGAGTCTCTGTGAACTATTTACTTAAGAAACACACTTGGATTTCCTTAGACCACAGGGTGCTTTTATGCAAACAAAAGAGGGAGCCCCACCCAAAATGTTCCTTGAATTCATCTGTAGGAAAAATGACTAAGTAATGAATTATAATGTCTTTAGGTTATGTGGGGTAGGCAGCTCCCCTGCCAATGCCTTGCCATGTGACCATGGCTAAACGGAAACCGGTCAAGGAGACGGAGGTAGCCTTGAACTTCTGCCTCCCTAGTGCCAGGATTATACACCACCAAGCCTGGGTTTAAATATTACGTTGCCAAACATGATAGACCCTGAGCTGAAGACAGGAAGAGGTCAAGGATAGAGCACTCACCTGGTGGCCACAGGGCCCTGGCTTCCTTCCATACCCAGTACCCCAAGAAAAATCTTCTAAAAAGCATTTTCCTGACACCTTCCCAAAACCATCTTACACCAAACGCAGCTGTGCTGGTCTGGTGAAGCCTCTCAGAAGGACACTGCTGTGTGACCCACACCTTGACAGCCGAATGTGGCAGACCACCTTCCTACACTGCTCAAACCCCACCTTCTTATCAACAGACAGTCTCACCCACAGAGCTCGCTGGCTCAGTCTCACTAAACTGGGCTGCCTCTCTGCTCTCACAGAATTTCACAAAGGCCCCAGGAGAAGAGCACAGAGTCCCTCCTCCAACAATGGGGTTTGACCATCATGAGTCTGACCATACAGTTCTTCAGAATCTTTTTTTTTTTTTGGGGGGGGGGGGGAGGGGTTTCGAGACAGGGTTTCTCTGTGTAGCCCTGGCTGTCCTGGAACTCACTCTGTAGACCAGGCTGGCCAAGAACTCAGAAATCCGCCTGCCTCTGCCTCCCAAGTGCTGGGATTAAAGGCGTGCGCCACCACTGCCCGGCGCTCTTCAGAATCTTAATACCCCACCCACACCTCACTGCCCCTGTCTCCCAGCTAGACTCTTTCAGGACAGACTATCATATCTCACATCTTTACACACAGGAAGTTCCTCAAGAGCTTGTTTGTGTGCCATGAGAGAACCTGTAGGTCATCAACGGAAACAACCGCCATGGTCACCCCGCTCACAGCGGCGGGGACAGGCCTCTTACCCCTGGTTGCTTCATTTTCTGAATGGCAAACTTGAGAAGGTAGGACAGCTGTTCAATGGTCAGCATGGTCATGGCTTTGCTCTGCGTCTCGATGCATTCTGCTACTGTAATCTTCTACAAGTCAAAAAATCACACACACACAGGTCCGTTAGGGAAAACACACATGGCTGCCGTTTAGTCTCCTTCTACCTCTGCACTCACAGGTAAAAGCAATTCCCACCTACGTGGGAACTGCTATTGGTCTTGAAAAGAACTCCAAACCGCAAGACCAACATGTACTGGATCTGTAGGCAAAGACTTAAGTCATCAATCCACATACATTGTGCCAGGAAGTGACTCCAGCTGGTGAAGGCATCAAGAGCTGGGACCTGGGATGGCACAGGACTGCAACCCTTGGGTCTTAAGAATTTAATGTGAGCCAGGCGGTGGTGATGCACACCTTTGATCCCAGAATTTGGAAGGCAGAGGCAGGAGGATCTCTGTGAGTTTGAGGCCAGCTTGGTCTGTCTACAAGGTGAGTTCCAGGACAGCCAGAGCTACACAAAGAGAAACTCAAGGACATCCTGCAAGAAGAGGAAACCTTTCCTTTTTCCTTTCCTTGCTTCAAAACCATCTCACTGGCCTGGAACTCAGAAATCCACTTACCTCTGCCTCCCTCGTGTCAGGACTAAAGGTGTACACCTCCATATCCAGCTTTCCCTTTTCTTTCCTTTCCCTTTTCTCTTACCTTTTTTCTTCTCCTTTCCCTTCCTTCCTCTCTTCTCTTTGGAGATAGACTCTCACTATGTAGCCCAGGCTGGCCTCAAACTCGTAACACCCCTGCCTCAGCTTCTGCAGTGAGTTTACCAGCGTGTGCCACCACACCAGGCTCACAACTGTCAATTCATAGGGGACATCCTTATCACAGGGAAGATCCAGATAATCAACCGTAACCAGACTGCTGCAGAAACCCCATACCAGATCTCGGGGATTCTGAGATTTGTGTGGCAACAACAAAAAATAGCAAATCCTAAAGTGTCAAGGACTCTTTTGGCCAGGCTGTGAAGGAGAGACGTGACATTTTCTCCATTCCTTTCCATCTGTCACATCACCGGGGCCTTCCAACAAACCCTCACTGTGGTTGGTTGTCAAGAGAAGAACCACACAGTCTCGCTCAAAACCCCACAAGAGTCCAGAGCACACTAACAGAGTCCACTTCATCTTCTAGGCTGCCTTTACAACTCACCCCTCGGGGAAAAACTGAGGTCTCTGAATTGGAACACACAGGCAAGTACAGCTGCTTGCTTGAATGCAGTGTCTTTCAGCGTGCTCCAGATCCAGAGTCACCTGCCTGCCTGCCGTTCCCCCTCCTACCTCTACTCTTCCCTCTCTCTGGCCAAAACCAGTTAACAGAACAACAACAAAAAAGAAAGAGTCCCAGTCAAGTTTTTTTAAAAAAAAAAGAAAAACAGGGAAATTGGTGTGCAACACTGACCAAGGAGCCCAAAGGCCAGTTAGCTGGAGGACACTGGGAAATATCTCCTGATATAAGAGAAGTTAGGAGATGTGCCATTGTTTTAGGGAAAACATTGCCTAGGCACACAGGATACCTGAGCCTCCAGCAGCAGCCGTGGGGACAGAGAGGAGCCATGATTGTTAACAGTGAGACAGCAAGCTTGGCTCCAAACCAACTGGCTGGCCCTTCCCCACGGTCTGCTTCCCACACAGACTGGTCATAAACTCTGGGGTCTCAGATACCTTCCTCTACAACCGTCACTTGCAGAGAAGGCAACTTATCTCTGTTCGGTGACTGAGACCACAGGGAAGGCGGAAGAAAACTGGAGAAGGCTGGGGAACCCACAAAACTACGGGAAAGCAAACCCAGCTCTGAACACAGAGTGGAAGCTGTCAATTTAGGGTGTGCAAGTCTGTCTGGAGTAAGCCCAGGGGAGCCGTCAGCCAGCTTTTGCCACGACCCGGGCAGAAGGCCCCTTTCACATCATCGTTTGTTTTAAAGTCTAATTTCTTTTCTCTCCTTTTCCCACCCAAGCGCGGCGTCACGGGCATTTTCCTAGCGTGAGCTCCCCCATGCCATGCGCACATCTGGGTGGAGCTTCCCTCTCACACAGGAAGCTTCCTCACGATCTAATCCAGTGCCCGCTGGAATCCCAGAGATGTTCACACACATGACAGGATGATGTGTATGAGCGACACTCCTGTTGTCAGCAGAGAGCATCACAGTGGGAGACACGCAGACTCGGGAGCTCGAGCAGTCGGCTTAATGACGGTTGAGCTGCTGTGAGACTGGGGTGGGCTGCCTTCAGCCTGGCTAGCCCTGAACCTGCGGCTTCCTCTGCCCAGATGTCCTCCCCTTCAGATCCTCCTTATACCTCAGTGCGTCCTTCCCAGTGTTGGGGGGACATCGCACCTCAACTTCCTCTTCCCGTCTTCCGTCCCATTTTCTCTACTTTTCTTCCACCTTCTGCTATAAGTTAACTTTCGGATTTTTGTCCGCTTTTGCTCAAAATAACAATAAATAATAAGAAAGGGTCATCCACTCTGTGGAACGTGCTGTTGAATCCCCGACACCTAACGGGCACTGGAGAAACTCAGGTCGCATGAAAGGAAATGCGAGGCGGTCACCACGGAGAGCACACACGCTAGAGCGGTCTTCCCAGCAGGCTACTGGCGAGAGGAGTCAAGGTCGAAGAAGGGGAGGAAACAGCGCGGGATCTTTTCAAAAGGCGTCAACCATTACAGATCTACAAGGTCCTTCCAAGGCACTCACGGCAGAAGGCAGAAGCAGCAGACGCACAGCGGCAGGTCTCAAAGCGCTCCCAAGGCTCGGGGACAGGCAAGGCGACATGTCTTTCCAAGAGCTGCCCCACTGCAGCCAGCGCAGAGGCGGGTCCCCAGAGGGGGCGGCCAGGGTAGAGCAGGCGGGAGGCAAGACATTTCTCTTTCCCTCTATTTGGATTATTTTGAAATTTTTAAAAAATAAAAAGGAAGAAAAGAGAAAGGAGAGGAATTGAGGCAGGTAATGAATTCATTCATCGGGAACTAACCTCACATTCAGGACAAAACCAGTCCCCCTCTGGTTCCGATGTCAGTCTCAGACACTTAGCGTGATAAACCCGGGGACAGAGCTCACAGCAAAGGACTTGTCCTTCCCGGTGACAAACCCAGCAATAGAAGTCATTCCGTCCGTCCTGCGGTACAACATCAACAGGGTCTGTGGTGAGTGGCTGCTTCATATAGTAAAACGGACCATGTCTTAGCTCTGACTGAAATGTAGGCAAGAAAGACAGGTGGGGTTTCAAAACACAGGTGGTTTCTTAGCAGTAATTTGCACATCAAGAACAACACATCACAATCCCTCACAACCCCTCACAACCCCACTACACAGCCATGCCATCTCCACCTCCCAACTAAACACAGCAGTGGCTGGTCCACAGCTATAAAGCCACTTGCCAGGCACTCAAAGCTGGCACCTGAGAGTTAGTGGCTAGATGGCCCGAGTGCACAGTTTAAAACCCCGCACCCCCCCCACCCCCATTAAGCAGCTAAGTGACCTAGGCCACATCTCTCTCCACCTCCCCACCTCAATTTTCTCATCTGTAAAATGGAGCTGAGAGTTTCAACATGTTGATATTAAATGGCAGCATAGCCACCACTCACAAAAACGTGTGTGAGCCCAAATTTACAAAGCCCATGTGGGTTTGCCAAGCCGCCCTGGCCAGCTTTAACTAGTTAAGTATTTAGAGGGCAAAAACAATTAGATTTGGGCTGGAGCAAAATTTATCCTTCGTTTACTTAAGTATGTCTCCAAGATAGAAAGTATCTCCAATGGCTCCCCAAAGCCCCGATCCTTGAGTGGGGTGTTCACATCGGCCAGGAAGGCTGGCCAATTCATCAGAACCAACAACGCCAGACCGAGAGAGGAAAGGGCCCACCAATTCACGGGAACCAGACATCTTCCTGTGAGACAGCATCAGGAAACCGGTCTCTAGACATTCGACAGCAGTGCAGAACCAAGCACAGAGAAGCCTGCAAAGTCCACCCCGGAGTTGTCCAGTGGTGACAGTCAAATGGTCTACTAACAGGTCTGTGACCTTCAGAGCCCACAGGGAAACAAGATGCCTTCCAACAAACCCGTGGGCACTGGGTAGATATCACATTTACACAACACAAGCTCCCTGTCAGTAAAATATTGTTTCCCCCAACAAGACCTCATACTGGCTACATACAGCACAAATTCTGATAACATGGATGAGAAGACTGTGCTTGTAATGCCGCTGCCTGGGGACCGAGGCAGAGGGACTGTGAGTTAGAGGCCAGCCTAAGAGAATGACAGGATGCCTCAGCAGGTAGAGGCCAGCCTAAGCAACTTGAGCCCTAGAATCCATGGAAAGGAGAGAAGCCCATCGTGCGTGCATACATACATACATACATACATACATACATACATACACACACACATAAACACCCACACCCACTCACTCTCACATACATTCTCCCACCCCACCTACCACAATCTCTTACACATACTTTGTTTTTAATTTTAAAAAAGTGTGTGTGTCTCTGCGCGCGCGCGCGTGTGTGTGTGTGTGTGTGTGTGTGTGTGTGTGTGTGTAAAACAGGGGTTTCCTAGTATATTCTTTCAGTGACCACCGCTCTATTTACACAGACATACTTCAACATTTTTTAAACTGACCTAATATGAAACCAGCTGTAACACTTTGTTGACTGAAAATCTGACTTCTCCTTAGGACCAGGCTTCTGTGTTCCTGTCTACCGCTCCTCTTTCTCTTCAGGACCAGGGACTGAGCCCAGGACCTCACAAACTCTTAAGAGAAGGCTTAACTAGGGAGCCTCACCCCATGTCTGTATTAGAATGGCTAGAGCCTACAGGATGAGAAATGCCTGAGAGCTACAGGCAGCCCAGCTTCTTCCCTGGATTTTAGGACGAGGAGTCAGAGCTCTGCAGATGTCTGGTCCTCCAAACTCCTTCAGGGAGTCTTGGGAACTTTTTGCCCAGCTTTTTAAATCTCCCTAAGAAAATAGCTCCATCTTCCTGAATCACCAACAGGGGCTTGCTTGGGTGGTCTGCTCCGTTTCCAGGGAGGAATATCATTGTTGGGATAGTCTCTAAATGGTACATTTTTTCAATGTACTGTCCTGCACGTGTTCAAGGAAAGCCTTATAATTTAACAACACCCATCTCACTAACAAAAGAGTAGAGCCAAAACTCAGGGATCAAATAACCCAACCTGATACCACAGCCCAGCTGGGAATTTCTGATACCGCGTTTATTCCTTTGATGGCTCAGAAGTTTCCCCCAGGCTCCATCTCTGCCTCACCCCAAGTAGGTGTCCTCAGGACCAAAGGGACAAACAACCAGGTGACTCTGCTCTCTTCGGGGACCCTCACTCCAGGAACTTCAGCAGCCGCAGAGGACAGCAGCCCAGTCAATCACATACTTCCCTTATGACTTCTGTTTTCTATTGCACAAAAATTACCTCATAACAAACGTGGAGCTTTTTAAAGGAAAAGCCAACCGTTTCAGGTAAAATGGATTCGGATTTCTCTCTCCCACGTGTCTGAAGTATGTAAACGGCCCTGCAGCAAAGCGCACAGGCGCGACAAGGGGATAATTGCAGGTTACAGAGTAAATGTTTTTATTCCCTGGCTCCTGCCCCAGGTCAGCTTAACAAGAAAATGGAAAAGACCTATTCACTCACTCCAGGGATGTTTTCATCTGCACTGAGGCAGGCAGATGTTTGCAATTCAGGATTTTTGTAAGAATAATAAGTGAAGGGCTGGAGAGATGGCTCAGTGGTTAAGAGCAATGACTATTCTTTCTAGAGGACCTGGGTTCAATTCCCAGTACCCACAGCTCACAATTTTAATTCCAGTTCCAGGGGATTCCACGCCTTCTGGCCTCTGTGGGCATACACTACACAAAAACAGGGCATAAACATACATGCAGACAGTTTCCAACCCCCTCATGGCTGCTAACAACCTTCTATAACTACAATTCCTCCAAATCTGGCTTCCAAGGGCTCCTGTATGCACACGACCTACATAAACTCATGCAAGCAAACACACATAATGCAATTTTAAAAAAGAATGAATAAATCTCTCTCTCTCTCTTTTTTTTTTTTTTAAAAATCCTGGTATAGTTGCACACACCTCCAGTCCTAGTACTTTGAGAGAGAGGCTGGAGGATCTCTGTGAACATGGAAGTCAGCCTGGTCTACACAGTAAGTTCCAAGCCAGCCAGGGCTGTATGGTGAGAGTCTTATTCCAAAATGAATTAAGTGTCTGTGATCCCCTTGTTAGAGTGCATGAAAACTGTCCCTTTCTGCAAATGTCAGATGCTAGAAATAACCATGGGGCAAGACTCTCTCACCTTTGCCTATTGAGGCTAATCCACCTGTCAATCAACCCTAGATAGTGCTTATCCAAAGCCCCCTTGAAGATCGAACTGAAGCTCTAAGAGAAAGCCAGTAACCCACTCACACAGTGAGTGTCCCAGATGCTGGGAGCGAGGTCATGTGACCTGGTAGAGCTGGGTGCCTTCCAGGTCTTCTGCAATGGCTGCTCACGGCAGGTCCCCTGAGGCAAGCTGAGGTCCTGTGTCTTTTCAACCTTACCCGCTGTCCCCATACTCAATATCTTTTCTGAAGCCATGGCATCCCACCCTCTGTCAAACCCTGAGCAACAGCAGTGCAGGAGGACACTGACTTTTATCTGAGGCCCTCGGTAAGACAGGTGACAAACATGAAGTGACACAGGGTGACACATGGTGCCGGGTTACAAGCAACCATCATGAGTAGGAGACTGACGTGGTTACTGAAATGGATGAGTTTGAAGACTGGTATAAAACTAGGCCTTGCTAGGTAGATAGCCCAGGTTAGCCACTAACTCACTGTGAAGCCTAGGTTATCCTCTAATTTATGAAGCCTTGAACTTTGATACTCAGTAGCCTCAGCTTCCCAAGTACTGGGATGGCAGGTGTAGGCACTCACGACTTGGCTCAAAAACTGCCTTAATATGCAGTTAACGAAGGGAAGAAAGAAAATGTTCACACAGACCCACTAACAGAAAGACAGCCAGTTCTCAGACACTCACGGACATGCGCTTTCGAGCTCACATTCCTGTGGAGGCCAGAGAAGACCTTGACAATCTCAGCTCATCCTCAGGAGGGCCCTCCACTTCCTTTTACTGGCCTGGAACTCAGTGGCCTGGCTCACCAATTAGCCCCAGGGATCCTCCTGTGGCCACCTCCCCAGGGCTAGGATTGCAAGCCAACACTCTGGGCATTTTTACATAGGTCCCAGGGTTTCTCAAATTCAGGTCAGGCCCTCATACCTGCAAGGCGAGCGCTTTACAGACAGAGCCACACCCATAACCCCCAGTGTTTCTTTTTGAGTCTTTATTCCTATGGGCTATGAAGGCTCTCAGGTGGCAGGGGCCAGATGTCACCAGCAAGACAAGCAAAGCTAACCCCACTTGCCCTGAGACCCAGAGGAGGGAACACCTCTGTGCTTCCCTTTACACAGAGGCAGTTACAACCCCTCTCAACTAGACCTGTGCCATCTAACATGTGGCCATGGGCAGCCATTTGACTTTAAATTAGATGAAATGAAAAACTCAGTTCCAAGTAATTCTCACCCAAGAAAAGCCATGCATGGCTATGACTACCATGGCAGACGGTGTGGATCGATAATGCTTTTTTAGATATTGAGGGGTTTTATTGTGGGGAGAGACTAAAATTATTAGAGCCAGAGTCCAAGGCCACCCAAGGTTACATATGAGTCTCTGAAACAAAAAGAAAAGGTTGCTACAGCCCGGCGTCCTTTCCAAATTCAGTCACCGATGTTTGCATCATCCGTCAATGAATGGTGCTGAGTTAACACTCACAACAGCCCTGTGGACTGGGCAGTTACCACAATCCTCATCTTGTGACTGAGGAAGCTAGCAGCACACAAGAGGTTAACTTGCTCGAAGCCAGAGACAGTACTGGCCACTCACTATATAATTTCAAGAGTGGAAACAGATTTGTGTTCAGAAACATATGCGTGAGGCGTCAGGCCTTTAACCATTGCGAGACCTCTGCCCATAAAACCAGCAACCTTGCTCCCTCCAACCCTCGCTCCCTGGAGCCCACTCCGGCACTTGATAAAGCACAGAACGGATGAAGTAACCGTCACCAAAGGTTGACAAGGTTGACAAGGCCAGAACTCACAGTCACAGAGGGGACAGACACCCTACCCAGTCCATTCATGGGCCTCTAGTCAGCTCACATCCAAAGACTACCTACCCTGCACCAGAGAAAGTAAAGCTAGAATATTCTTTAAGAAAAAAAAAATCCTTTTCAATATTTCTGACAGCATCGGCTGCCAGGTAGGCGGGTCTGTGCGCAGAGAGAAGGGACAGTGGCCCATGACCAAAGCCCATGACCAAAGCTGACTCAGTGACTCTCCCCACTGACCTTCATTTTACAGATGAGAAAATAGTCTCAGCCACATAATCCTCCCACTCCCCCTCAGGCAGATGTCTTAGCCCAAGAGGGAGGAAAACCCTGAGACCACCAATAACTAACCCAAGGACCACCCCAAACCCCGGTATCTGGCATACAGCTCTGTCCTCTATCCTCAAAACAGACCTGAAACCCCGCTGAAAATTTTTGCACAGCCCCTTCTGAGCTGCCTTTTATGTAAATGGCAGGTAGTGCCAGGCAGCCTGCTACAGCAATGCCAAAACCCAAGCTACGCCCTGCCGCCTGGCCTCCATCCCACGGGTGCAGAGGCCGCTCGCAGCAGCTTGTTTACCTGCTCCTTATTGCTACTGTTCAGTAAGCCGGGTTTCTTTTTCTTTTTAATGGGGCTTGTAGACGAGTCTTGGGGTGAATGGCCATTGGAGGAATGTGGAGGGCTGGGGAACTTCCGTTTCTGGGCCGTTTTCTCCGTAGGGCCAGGATCTGAAAGAGACACAAAGGACCATGTTTGCAAAGCTCTCAAGGAGGCCTGGATCATTTAATGAGGGTGTGCAGGTGACAGCGTCACTGTGGCTCTGTTCCCAAACTCTGAGTGACAGGTCTATACTTCCCTTCCTAGAATCTATCTGTCTCTTCCTTCAGGACACTGAGTCTTTCTCTTCAGCCTACAAAACATCTGTGTAAACTCTGATCTCGGTGCCAACTACACAAAAAGAGAAACCTCAAACCACCTAGATTTTTGGCTTCTCTTTAAAAACAAACAAAAATAAAAACAACAACAAAACAGACCAAGGCCCACAGGCCTTGACATCTGTGTAGCAATCTCCTACCAGTACATGGGAAGCTATCACCTACTTTTTAAAACAAAACAACCCTTACCACAGTCTTGGCGATAAGGCCATGACCACAATTTGAATGTGAGAAATCCCCCCATGGGCTCGTATATTTCAATGAGTGGCCACCAGCTGGTGACACTATCGTGGGAGCTATGGTATTTTAAGGAAATGGGTCACTAGGAGTGGACTTTGACATTTTTAAGCCAGGCCCTGTTTCCTGTCCAGTTTCTACCTCCTGTCCGGGAGCCATGTCTATGAGGAGCCCAACTGCCCACTCCCGCCATCACAGATAGTGCCACCTACCACCAGGCCTCCTAAGATGGTAGACTACATCCCCTCAAGATGGAAGCCAAAATAAACCTTACCTTCCTTAGGTTCTTGTCACGGATTTGGTCATAGCAACAAGAAAATAACAGATCCAGTTACTAGAAGTGGTCACACAAGCAAGGGTGTCTCTGACACCCAAGAAACACATCTCCACACCCTGCCCAAGAACAAAATCAAGACACCCCAAGACTTTAAGGAAAGAGGCCCCAGCACTCATTCCCATTCAGTTGGCTAAGAGTAGGGCGAGGCCCTCCCACAGGAACATTCTCATGCCCCACCCACACCCTACTGAGACCCTCACCCAAAGGCATCAGACAAAGAACACGTACCAACTCCCTCCATAACGGCACCACCCGCCCCTGTCATTTGCCCTTGGTTTTATATTCCCACCGCCCCACTACCATCCACCTGTTCGCCTGTAAGACCTACAGTTTCTTCATGCCCAACGGTGGGCTCATTGGCTTAGGGACAAGGGTACAACCTGGTGCAGCTCACACCCTGAGGAACTGAGGCCAGAGAAGCAGGAAAGGGCACCAGGAGCCTACAGGGCATCACCAGACGGTCTGCTTCAACTTTACCCTTCACTACCATGACAGGAACCTCAGTGACCACAAACAGAAGTGGCTGAATGCATGGCGGCCATACAACAGAACACTCTCTGGCCATTAAGAATGCTGAGTGCAAGCCAGGCAGTGGTGGCACACGCCTTTGTACTTGGGAGGCAGAGACAGGCTGATTTCTGAGTTTGAGGCCAGCCTGGTCTACAGAGTGAGTTCCAGGACAGCCAGGGCTACACAGAGAAACCCTGTCTCGGGAAAAAAAAAAAAAAACATAAAAAACAAAAAACAAAAAAAACCAAAACAACAAAAAAAAAAAAAAAAAAAAAGAATGCTGAGTGCAAACTGCAGGGATGGCTCAGCAGTTAAGAGCTGTGGCTCTTCCAGGGGACCTGGGTTCAATTCCCAGCGCCTGCATGGTGGCTCTAACCATCTGTAACACCAGTTCCAGGGGATCCAATGCCTTCTGGTCTCTGTAGGCACTGCACGTACATGATGCACCTACACACATACAGGCAAAACCCTTGTACACACTTTAAAATCAAGAAGAATACTCCGCACAGCCAGGAGGCAGGGGCAGGGGCAGGGGCAGGGGCAGGGGCAGGGGCATCTCCATGACTTCGAGGACATAGTGAATTCTGGGTCGGGGAAACACTGTCTCAAAATGAAGAACATTGCAGTTAGTGAACGGATAAATCCATAACATGCTTGCCGTGCAAGTGGAAGGATCCGAGTCCAGAAATCATGTAAATTAGATAGCCATGGTTGCCTGAATCTGTAATCCCTGCATTCCTTCAGCAAGGTGCAAGACAGACAGGGGAATCTCCAGAAGCACATGGGACAGTTAGACTACTGTATACAAGGAGAACAAGAGACTCTCAAAGGAGAGAGAACTGACACCCAAGGCTGTCCTGCCCTCATCACATGTCACACACACACACACACACACACACACACACACACGCGCGCGCCGCGCGCACACACACAAACCATGGGTAAGAAAGACAGCTGTGTTCACAGGCACTTGTAATCGCAGCACTTCCAAGAGACTGAAGCAGAGTTGCTGTGAGTTCCAGGCCAGGCTAGGTAACAGAGTGCCACACAACCTCTACCCCTCCCCCACAGAAAGAGGGATGAGGTAATGCTGAGGGCACCATTTAGTGGCAGAGCACTTGCCTGCCAGGCACAGGCTCCAGGTCCCATCCCCAACACTAAGAGCATCTCTCCAAGGACTCATGGATGACAATCTCTACACAAGCTCAGGGTCCCATCACCAAGAGTATCTATCTCTCCATGGACCCCTGTATGACAATTTCCAGCCTGGGTCCAGTTACAAAAACAACATATCTAGTGCCTCCAGGAGACGGCGTCACACCCCATCCCCAAAAGGACGCAATCCAGCATGTAAACACTCAGAATACTCCAGGGGGAACAACAACGTCCAGCTAGGTTCCTCGGGGGAGTGGGTGGGCGTCTCAGGATGCCCTAAGGAGGGCCTGCAGAAGGGATTATGTATCAATTCATACCCTGGTGTACTACAGTCGTCATGTATTTGGATGACTTTATCAAAGTAAGGGAAATGAAAGGGATTTAGAAGGCTCGATTGCACATGAAAGGCAGCAGGTGCGGGCAAAGCCAATAATGAGTAAAGGAGGGTGGGACCCCAGATAGATGTCACAGAGGGATAAAGTGGGGGCTGGGCTGCTGTGGGCCTAGAGGCCTAAGGAAGGAGCTTGGGGTTTGTTCTACGTGCAGCTGATACATTCAAGTGTCTAAGTGTCTAATATACTTAATGCAGGTGACTTGGGGGCTCACACGCGTGCGTCTCAAAAGAAACAATACTTTGGCCAGTCCAAAACAAGAGGATCTGACCAGGCCGTACATACAAAATCTCTGCTAGTGGTTGGGTTTAGAGACGGTTCCCCAGTGGGAGACAAGGGGTAGTTTCTAGGGTACCTCAAGATTTCTTAGCTGGCTTTGTAAATACCTCAGTTCTCAAACTGAGGTATTTTGTTCTCAAGACTCCTAAGGACTGTGGCACTAAGAACCAGCCCATCAGGAAGGGGATAGGGCACTGTGGACTAGAGCAGGGCAGCTTCGAAGCCAAGCTGAGATCTTGGCATCTTGATCCTGGATCCTTCCTGCTCAGAACCCCCGTGGGGGCTATGGTTCCTATGACCGGCAGTACCTTAAAATATGTGTTCGTGTGCACACACACAGGCAAATTATTAGGCCTCACCTGGAATCCAGACTCAGCAGCTCTCAAGATTAGCTGGTATTTGTGGGTTAGAGATGCTACAGGGTACAATATGCTTGAGAGGGTGGGGCGGGGGTCTGAGACTCCACTAGGTTGGGCTGCTATAAAACCCCATGACTGGCTGAAAGCACTTCTAGCAAGCCTCTTGCCTCTCAGGGCCTCATCTGCCATTTGGGAAAGAGGGAAACGGGAGCCAGGAATCCTTGCCTGGCTTCACATAAACACCTCCAGGATCCAGGAAGTACATGCCACTCACTCGCTCTGTACACAGACACCGTTTCCTGGATTGGGGGTTGGGGGAAGGGGTCGCAAAATCCACCTTCTTCGAGTTGTCCTAAGGCATTGGGTCCAGATAAAGACATTTGCTGCGAGGCATGGAACCCTGAGCTATATCCCAGGGGACCACAAGGAAGGAGACCATCTCTTGGGGCTGTTTGCTGGGGCACCCATGTAAGCAGGAACTCCTGGGAAGAAGCTGGGTCCACAGTGACTGGTTGTAGTGTGGCAGCTCCACAGACTGCCTTATTATGGGCTAGCTCTAGACATTTCGGTGTTTCCCACCCTCCTCGGGGTCAGAACCAATAGCCTGTGACCAACCAACAGGTAAAAACCTTTTGCAATCTTACTAACGTGGCAAACCACTAACTTCCACCAACCCCAAAGTAAGGAATGCCATCAGATAGCAGCTGAGACCTATAGGACAGCGCCCCATCTCTGTACCTGCCTCTTTGATGTTCCCACCAACTTACTCTAAATTGTCTTGATTTACGATGTTCTCTGTTCTGTAAAAGTACAAAAAAAAAAAAATGAAACTGCTTCTATATCAGAACATGGAATTTGGGGTAACCTAAATCTGTTCCGGGGCCATCCAAGTATGCACAGATGAATAGAAGGGAGATATCCACACGGCAGCTGAACTGTAAAAACCTTCCTTTGAACTTTAAAATATTTTCGGGGGGGGGGGGGCACCAGAAAAGGAATATAGTCGTGAGCGATCTATCTACAAGGGAGTTTTGTCCTAACCTGTTAGGTTCTCATGGCTACCCAGGTCAGAGTATTCCAAGCTTTGTCTCAGGAAAACAAAAACTGGGCATGGTGGCACACACCTCTGATCCGGGTACTCAAAAAAGTTGCAGAGGCAGAACTCTGTGAGTTCTGATCTACATAGGGCCGGCCAGGCATCAGAGCTACACAGTTAGAACTTGTCTCAAATCACCTCAGCTCTATCTGCTGTACAAACACATGGACTCTCCCTGGAGCCTATGGAGGTTTAACCAATGCATCTAAGCTACATTTCAGTAGCACCCAAAGGCTTTCCACAAAGACTCTTAGCAAAAAAACTTGGGAGATGGGGCTGAATTCATCATTCCTCAGAATACTGAAGGGCAGGTCAGCCCTACTGCTTAAACCCCTCCCTGTTCCATCAGGAACCCAGCATCCGGTGACTGTACAAGATGGGAAGAAACTCAGCTGTCGTCATGGTAATGAAGTCACCATAAGGACCTC